AACCAAGAAGAAATTCAAATCATATCCCACCATCCAAATAATTTCTTTCTTGGTTTCTAAAACATCATGGGAACTAATATTCAACAAATGAACTGACATATATAGAAGACTGACTTGAATATTACCAGACGTTTCATCTATAAGACCAGATAGCTGGAAAAGTATGTAACTTTTTCTGTTCTGCCTAGCTTGTTGAAGTCAAACTGGTAAAAGTAAACCTTAGGAACTTAAATAATACAAAGTTATGGTGTAAATTATTACAAACATAATTCTAGAACCTCCAAAACCAAATAATTAATCCTCCTAAAGTTTAAGAATTAACAAGTCAAGAAATTAATGTTGATAGGAAACATTCTGATAACTTGTGTCACACATTGATTAGGGGTTGTAAACTAGGGGAACTAGTCAAAGTGGTCCATTCATGGAGTAAAATATTTGGATTTGTTATTAATCTGGAGATTTATTACTCAGAAATCGTGAAGAGTATTTGCTTTATTTTCAAGAAAAATATATATCCGCAAATAAAATATGTTGAATGTTGAATAGGGAAATGCCAAGAATATATGCAGAACTAAGAAACTTGTAAGAACAATTTTCTACAGTTTTTTGGGTTTTCTTTTTTATATATTTCTAGGAACTTTCTATGCAAGATCTCAATTCAGAATATTTTTTGTGTCAGATATGTTCTTTTATTTACTTCTTTCTTTTATTTTTACTGAAAATTTCCATTTAAAAACTAGTATAATGTAAGATGCTTATAAAAGTATACTATAAATTTATACAATGATAATAAAAGAATAAGTTATGACAGGTACTCCACAGTTTAAAAAAAAAAGAATAAGTTATGATAACTTCAGCCATGAACTTGGCTTTGAATCTTGAATGGAACTACATGCAAACATCTCAGTCAAAATTTTCTGGCTTTGCAACATTAGAAGTTGCTTTGGTAAAAATAAAAATAATAATTAAAAAAAGAGATAGATTTGTGTTGGTGGGTTTGTGGATTTGTTTATTAGTAGAGTAGGTATACCGCGTGGAAAAATTCCCAGAATATTAGAAATATTTGATACCTTTAACTAATACTAAAAAAACTTATGTAGTGAGAATTAAAAAAAAAATTCCCAGAATATTAGTAATATTTGATAACTTTAACTAATACTAGAATTAAAAAAATAATAATAATACTCCCTTAGATAGTACAATCATTTGACCTCCATCTAAAGATACACAAACACACATATATATCAAGGGAATGGTGATTTCTACATTGGTTGTTATGCTTGTTTTTTCTTGGTTTTCATCGATAACTAGTAATGTCATTATCTTAGAAATTGCTCTGCTAAAATGAAGCAACATCTTTGACAATTCGTTGCAACAATACCAAGCATGAAACAAAAGTTCATTGAGGTGAAATATAAAACTATTTAAACCAAAAAAAGTTATTGAAGGGACGAAAAGATATGTAACTTTAGATTGCTTTAAGAATTAGAATTTCTAAGTTCAAATTTCTTAACCCCTTCAAAAATGAAAAAGTATACACAAAGATCATTAAATACATTTTGAAATAACTAATTAATATGGTGGGGCTTCAAATATTTTCAATTTATGACACTTTTGCACCCAAAAATTCAAATATCATCAGTCTCAAATATTTTAATCAGTGCCCAAAATGACAAAAATAATGATGTATTAAATTGCATTGGATTTCTTATATGATTACCATTGCTACAAAAAAAAGGGTCGTACAGGTATTAGAAAAACTTGTTCTTGGATAGTTTTTCTAAGGTTCGAGAGTGAGTTTTAAGTCTTATAAAGGAAAAGGGGCAGTGCCAATTTGGGATGGTTTCACTGCAGAAACCAACCAAAACCCCTATTTTTTAAACATTCAATCCCACCTTTAACCTCTTCGCTTTATTTTAAACAGGTGGTGTTTTAGTGGTATTATATATATAAAAAAAAAATCAACCAAAAATATGACAACATTTACCAATTCCACGTGTTTTCCGGATTTAAGCATTCCTTGGCGTCTAAGGAACATCAAAAGGAATATTACATGTAGAACATTGGAAAAGTACTCAAAATCGCATCGAAACTTTGTGGAAGTTTACCCTTTACGAGTTATGAGCAAAGGACATCACAAATGATGAAAAGCTATTGCTATCATTTTTTTTTTCTCGGATTATTGCTGTTACAAAGAATCAAGGATATTCTACTTTTCAATTTTGATAGGGCGGATTCTAATAGAGTCCTTTTCTTTCAGGTTTGGCCCAAGTTAAGAAAAAATCAAGGAAACAAAAAGAAAATAAAACTCAACAATCTAATACACTTTAATTTGAAAAGGTAAAGAGTTCATCCGGGGCAAAAAAAAGAAAAGAAGAAGACATTGATGGAGCTTTTGGACATTGGCATGAGTTCTCAAGCTGAAATCATGTAGTGGAAGTTATGAAATATGATGTTTTCGAACTTTGGATTGACAATTGTATGAGGACCTTCTAGGTAATTGTTGAGGAATTCCCCCAAGAAGTACAATAAGATGTTGCGGAGGAATTAGGCTAACTCAAATTACAGTTATATGCATTTCAAGTTGTCAAACCCTTCCTACAAATCTCTTATCTGGTTGTAGAATGGTCCATGAACTTGCACTCATTCGATTTGATACCCCAAAAATTTTAACGTCTTGCACGAATCCAGCTTCACGGTGAACGAAGAGACTTGAAAGGCTTCACTTTGACACTATAATTGATCTGGTAGTCTAGTCTCTTGTATGTTTCCATGGGAAATGTTAAAGCAAATTAGGCCAACAACGAAAATGGAAAAAAAAAAAAAAATAGGGCAACAATGAAATAACTAGTTTCTATGCTACCCTATCATGGGAATATAAGGCATCACATACAGTTTAAGTTCGCAGAAGGATATTTTTCTCTTTGTTTTAAGGCAAACTATGGCCCCGTTTGGAACCTGAGTTTTTTGGAAGTTTGTCTAAAACTTTACTGTAGATCATTGTAGAAGTTGTAGAAAAATTTTTGTAAGAGAAAAAACTTTTTTTCCTTTTCATTTTCTTTTTTCTTTTTTTCTTTCTTTCTTTTTTCTTTTCTTTCCTTCCTTCCCGCTTCTTCTCCCTTCCCCTTCCCCCCTTCCCTCCCCTGTTCCCTCTCCCGAAGCTGCCAATGAAGCGGCAGATTCAAGGCTTTTTTTTTTTTTTGCATTTTTTCTCTCCCCAAGCAACAGATTCAGGGCCACCTCTCTTCTCCCTCTCCCTTTCCCCCTCGCCCGCCGCTGCTTCACCTACCGGCAGGGGAGGCAGCAGCAGAAATCTTTTTTTTTTTCCAATTTTCCCTCTCCCTCTCCCTCTCCCTCTCCCCCTCCCCCTCTCCTCCCCTTTGCCCTTCCCCCTCCTCCTTCCCTCGCCGCCACTGCTTCCCCTGCCGGCAGAAGAGGGAGCAACATAAACCTTTTTTTGTTTCAATTTTCCCTCTCCCTCTCCTCCCCTCTTCTCTCCTTCTCTTGCCGGACAGGTCAGGTACAAAAACTTTTTATTTTTGTTGCAATTCCCTCTCCCCCTCTTCCCCCCTTCCCTCTTCCCCAGCCACCCCCACCCTAAGTTTAAAAAAAAAAAAAAAAGTCAAACCTTTCCTCAAGTTTAATAATCCACTCTCTGATGCCGCTGGTGAAGTTGCAGGGAAATTTTTTGTTGGAGAACTTTTCCCTCTAGTGCCAGACCGTGGGAGAAGTTGAAGGGAAAGTTCACCAGAAGAAAGAACTCTCTGATGCCAATGAAGAAAAGTTCCCTCTCTCAAGAAAAGTTTTTTGAAAATTTTTTGTGTATTAGAAAAGTTGAAGAGAAAATTTTTTTAAGTGTGTAGGTTAAAAACTTTGATAAGTTTTTTTGGGGTTCCTGTAGTAAAAGTTGTTAAAAAATTAGTAGCATACAAACTTGTAAAAAACTAGGGGTTCCAAACAGGCCCTATAAGTCTCATTGATATAGAAACCATTATTAAAAGAGATGAGCGAAACTCACAGGTGTATCCTGCTCATAGTTTTAGAAATATATTAAGATATATTCCTTCAAAATTAAACTTTTGTATAACATCAATTAATTTTCCAAATCGGGAGGAGCTAGTGTCAAGTGAGTTTTTATTGAAGGTACGAGAAAGAAACACTCTTTTAATAATGAAGAATTTGATAAAAAGATGTGAAATTCATCCAAATTATTTTAGTTGTTTGGATTGTTTAAGAAGCATTTGGAATTGTAATTTATCAATTATTAAAATATATTTTAAATGCTAGAATAATTAATAATTTATAAATTCAAATGTTCACTATCATGAAATCCTTCACCATCATCACTTTACTCAGATTCTGTGATAGGTTGCAATTTTATCATTTATTTTATTATTAATTTCCCCTATTACCTGACTTGATGTGGATTAATTGTTGGATTCTACTCACTTTTAGTATTTTGCATTTATTTCAGGAAGTAGAACGAAAATATGATAACAAGTGCCAAGTTGACAGGAAAGGAGTCCAAGTCATAAAACTTACCCCAAGGGCATTGTTGGCCACAGAAAAACTTGGGCCTATCTCGGTAATTGCTGAGGAAGAAAGCACGGCCTGGAGAGTCCTCGTTTTTCCACACAGGAGCCGCCGCAAGTAGCATTATTTTTATATAGGAAAATTGTGCAAAAGGAAACCGATGGCTTCTAGCTTAGCATTAGATTCCTTCTTCCCTTTTAGACTTTTGATCAGGAACTCAGGCACATGGCAGGAACAATGAGGAATTGTTCCCTTTGACTTTTCTTTGGCTTCTTAGTAGCTTTTGGACTTACGAATGTCAGGAGCACTTAGCCTTTCTTGGCTTTGACCTTTCTTCCTTAGAAGCTTTTAGTAATTTTTTTTCCTTCTTGTGCGGCAGACGAAGTGAAAACTATGAATTGTCTCTTGTAGCTTTTCTATCTATTCAATATTCGGACGAGTTGAATTTTTCCAAATTTCAACGGACGATGGCCGTTGTTCCCTCTTCCATTTTCTGTGAGTTTTGTTCATCGAACATGAACTAATTTCACCACTCTAGTCAAGGAACAACGAAGGCTCTGGTTCGCCTAAAAATTGTGAGATCGATTTAATTTAATCTTTTCCTTTTATTTATTGGTATTCGCATATTCCTTGATTGCTATGCTTATAGTTATTTAATTAATTGATTGTCTTGGATCCGAATAATTAATTGATTTGGTAACCTATTGTCAATTAGGGCATTAAATCCGTAATTGTTTAATTGTCCTGAAATAGTGACAACTGGCACGATTAGATTCGTGTCAGGGGGATACGCGGACTAATCTGAAATAACCCTGGTAGTGCATTATTTGATTAGAATAGGACTCCTCTAATACATAAGGTAATTGGGGAATTAAATCTTACGGGCGTACCTAGGATTGTTTTCCAATTAGAGCAGTGATTAACGGGCGTACCTTGATCACCGACACAGTAAGGAGGGGTTGACTGTCTTCGCTTGTTTGGCAGTTATAACCTATTTGTTGATAAATAATTGAAATTGCTTGTGCATCGATGATCAATTAGGTGAACCATTGCTGAAGTTATTTCTTGGCTAGATCTTTAATTAATATTATCTTGATTTTAGTGAATTGCCATTTGACTTTTAGTTGCCTACTTTATTTTATTTCTAATTGCTTCCTTGTTTTAATTGATTTAGGCCTTTAATTATTGTTACTCTAAGTTCAGTGAATTGTGGTTTAATTTCTAGTTAGTTATTTATTGTTATTTTCTTATTTGAATTTATTTGATTGTCGTCGTTCCTACAAAATCACCCCCCTGTGTTACTTTGAATTTCTTAAGAAACAAATATACCCAATCCCTGTGGATACGACCCTACTTGCCCTGTTTACAAATTCATAATTATTTGTGAAAGAAATAACCATCCCATTCGGGTATATCGGATCAAGCAAACTCTTCGAGAATAAGGTGAATCAAGTAACCCATTGCACACCTAGAGTCCCTGCTCCAGTACTTGGAATTGGATTTTGGTCATTTTAACTGGCAATTAGGCTTAATTTTATTATTGTGCAGATTTCGACACCCTGTCAATTTTTGGCGCCGTTGCGGGGGACTGGCGTTATTATTTGTTTCTTTTTAAATTCATTTTTTATCTAACTTTCTGGTGCTTTTCAAGTGTATACCTCGTTCTTCTCGTACAGGTGAATTAATTTTCGACCCCGAGGTAGAGAAGACTGCGCGTAGGACAAGAAAAGAGACCGGACAGCTCCGAGAGGAGCACTCCAGTGCTACATCTCAGAGACCGGAGCCAGAAGTTGAACCAACAGATTCGTTTGGAGACACTTCGAGTGACTCTGATCAGGAGGAAGGAACCATGGCTAATGCACGAACGTTGAGGGAATTGGCTGCTCCTGATTTAAATCAGCAGCCTTTATGCATTACCTTCCCCACCCTAAATGATAACACTCCATTTGAACTAAAATCTGGACTGATTCATCTTTTACCCTCTTTTCATGGTTTACCAGGTGAAGAGCCGTATAAGCATCTGCAGGAGTTTGATGTCGTGTGCAATAGTATGAAACCCCCGGGAATCACAGAAGAGCAAATAACAATGAGGGCATTTCCCTTTTCCTTGAAGGATTCTGCAAAGGACTGGCTGTACTACCTGCCACCAGGTAGCAAAATCACGTGGGGCCAATTGAAGAAAAATTTTTTAGATAAATATTTTCCTGCATCCAGGGCTCTAAATCTAAGGAAAGAAATTTGCGGGATCAAGCAGCACCCAGGGGAGTCACTCTATGAGTATTGGGAGCGGTTCAAAAAGTTGTGCAACAAGTACCCCCAGCACCAAATAAGTGAGCAATTGCTCATACAGTATTTTTATGAAGGGCTCCTTTTCAGAGACAGGAACATAATTGATGTTGCAAGTGGAGGGGCACTGGTGAACAAAATCCCTCGGGAAGCAAGGGAGTTAATAGAGGGAATGGCAGAGAATTCACAACAATTCGGTACGAGGGAGGATGTCCCAATACGCAAGGTGAATGAGGTAGAGACATCCTCTATCCAGCAGCAGCTAATTGAGTTGACCTCGTTTGTTAGGCAACTGGCTGTAGGAAATGCATCTCAGGCCAAGGTGTACGGGATTTGCACTAGTATGGATCATTCTACAGACATGTGTCCAATGATGCAAGAGGAGGGTGCAGAGCAAGTGAACATGACAGGTCACGTACCCGCGCCAAGAAGACCCTATGACCCCTATTCAAGTACCTACAACCCTGGTTGGAGGGACTACCCTAACCTCAGCTATGGAGGGAACATGCAGTCCAATTTCGTGCCTAATAGACAACAAGGGTACCAGCAGCAGTACCAACCCCGACCACCTCCGCCACCGAGCTCTAGTCCATCTTTGGAGAAGATGATGAAACAACTGATAGCAACCATCTCGCAAAATCAGCAAAGGACGGACTTCGAAATGCAGGACATATGAAATCAGATGAGTCAAATGGCCACAAAAATCAACCATTTGGAGTCCCAAGTAAATGGAAGATTGCCATCCCAACCTGAACTGAATCTGAAGAATGTAAGTGCAATGACTTTAAGGAGCGAGAAGGAAGTTCAGGGGCCCGAACTCGTGACTCCAAAGGATAAGGACGAAGAGAAGATTGAGAAAGAACTTGAGGCAGAGAATACAAGCACCAAAAATCCAACGGTGCTCCCTGACCCGATTATAGATGTTAAAACTAATCCCCCTCCATTTCCTTGCAGGTTGGAGAAATCGAAGAAACAGGACAAAGAGAAGGAGATCCTAGAGGTGTTCCGCAAGGTAGAGATCAATATCCCCTTATTAGATGCCATCAAACAAGTGCCGAAGTATGCAAAATTTTTGAGGGACCTATGTGTCAACCGAAAGCGGCTGAGGGGAGACGAAAGGATCATTGTTGGGGAGAGTGTGTCAGCAGTTCTCCAAAAGAAGCTTCCACCAAAGTGCGAGAATCCAGGTAGGTTTACTGTCCCATGTAAGATAGGTAATACTCTAATTAGGAATACCCTACTGGACTTAGGAGCATCGATCAACGTAATGCCTAAACCTATGTATGCTTTTCTGAACCTCGGTCCATTAAAAGAAACCGAGATAATAATTCAATTAGCTGACCGAACAAATGCATACCCTGATGGGTTGATAGAAGATGTGCTGGTTAAAGTTAATGAATTGATATTCCCGGCTGACTTTTATGTATTTGACATGGATGATGATCATTCCCCTGACCCCTCACCTTTGCTACTAGGTAGACCCTTTTTGAGCACAGCACAGACAAAAATTGACGTTAATAAGGGTACATTGTCCATGAAATTTAATGGAGAACTAGTCCACTTTAATATTTTCGATACAATGGAATATCCTATTAACTCTCACCCTGTGTTTGCTATTCATGCTATTAATCCTTCTGTGCAAGAATTTTCTGAGTTTGCCTGTAGAGATAAATTCAAATTTACTGAGAACAAGTATAAGGGGATGGAAGCACTGCATGAGGTGAAAAGGAGTAGAAAATTAAGAAAGAAGGCTGCCCTCAAAGGCTATTTGGATCCTGGAGGAAGACCACCGATTTCCAAGAAAACTGAGTTACACCCAGATTGAAGAGTGGTGTTCAATGTCTAACCAAAGACGTTAAAGAAAGACGCTCATTAGGAGGCAACCCAATTATTTCTTTTAATTATTTGTTTTGATTTCGTATGATAATTTAAATATGTTTTTCTTGAATTTGACTGATTTCGGGTTTCAATTTTCATTTTTTATGATTTGTAGGTGTCTTTCTGTCATGACGCGCCCGCGTCATGACGTCTGGAGAGCTCGCGGTCAGAATCGTCAGAAGGGGTTCCTGTCCTCATGACGTGCCCGCGTCATGACGTCTGGAGGGCTCACGGTCAGAATCGTCGAAAGGGGTTCCTGCCCTCATGTCGTGCCCGCGTCATGACCTATGAAGAGTTCAGGATCAGAGAGCTCCCCCGTTCTCATTCTGTGCCTTCGTCAGAGAGCTAAAGGTTGAGTTTTGCAATTGTTATAGGAAAAAAATTTAATTAAAAAAAATTTAATTTAAAAAAAAAAACTAAAAAAAAAAATTTTCCTTTTCACCGTAGCTTAAATTTCCAAAAAAAAAAAAAAAAATCTCTTTCTTTTTCCTTCTTTTCTTTTCTTTCTTTTCTTTCTTTTTCTTTCTTTCTTTCTTTCTTCCCCGCTGCCCCTGTTCGCCCTTTCTTTCTTTTCCTCTGCGCACGCCGCCGTTTCCATCCGCCGCCTCCCACTCCTGCCCGCCGCGACGCACGGCCGCCCACGACTCCGCACGAAGGGCACGCGCAGGCGGCCCGTTGCACCTCGTCGCCGCTGCGCACTTTGAGCTCTATCTCCACCCGCGCCATTAGCCGTCCACCTTGCAAGCCGCGGCCCATCACCTCCAACCCAGCTCCAGCCCAGCCACCACCAGCTCGAGCGCGCCGCCGTCGCGCGCCCTACCAGACCACCAGCTCCCCTCGCCTCTCGAGCCTCTGTACATGCCGCCGTCGCTTACTCCACCTCACCCGCTGTCCGCGCGGAAGCCGCAACAGTGCCGCCGTCCCTCTCTCTCTGAACTTCGCCGCCACCCACTCACCTCCAGCCCCATCTCGTCGCGCCACCTCCATTAGCTCACGAAGCCCAGGTTAAGCTCGCCGCGATTGTCGCCGCGGCTACTTTCTTCCACCGCAGCCCAGTCCACCAGTGCTCCACTTTCGCCTCCAGCTTGGTCTCCACAGTCGCGCGCAACCCACCTCGCCTGCGCACGCCACCCACTACTGTCCCCTTTCATTTGGTTGTCGTCCAAGGTGGAGGTAATTGGAACTTGTCCCCCAATCTCGTAATAACTAATTGGTGCTGCCTGGGTTGCTCAATAGTTAATGTTGTTGACGGTTGGAGTTTATTTTCTCAATTGGTGAATTCCACCAGTGGTACTAGTCGGACTATTTTCGCTTGGAATTGCTATTTCTTTTGGGTTGGGTGAAATTGTGCAATTAATTGGCCAACTGGAGCCATTTGTTGGGACTTTGGGTGAGCTGAAATACCGCACTTGTTTGTTAAATTGGGAGGTTTCTATGCCATTTACATTGCTTGTTCCAGTTGGGTGCATCTGATTGAATTGCTGGGGTTGCTAATTGCACTGTTTTGGGGGTTGTTTTGCTGCCTTGGTTGTTGACTGGATTTAAGTTAACAATTTGAAGAATACTCTGCCCGTTTGTTTCACTTGGTTGACATTTTGGGTGGCACGAGGCACTTGAATCTACTCGTTGACATCGGTCCAATTTAAGTGACTAGTCGGTGCCAAATTGGCTGCTGACTTAGGTTGCTATTTGGGTGACTGTTTGAGTGAGAGCTAAATATTTTTTTTGATTTGTTACTGTCTAATTTCTGCACTGTTATCGCTGATTTTGAGTTCAAACGGTAACTGGCCAACTGGAGCCATTTGTTGAGATTTTGGGTGGACAGAGTTTTACATTTGCTAGTTGAATTGAGTTAAGATGCCTCAGCACTTGGGTGCATACTTTCGCCACATCGGTTTTCCTTCACCGCTCCCGCCTATCCCTTCGTCACTCGAGAGGGAAGTTTCATTGTTCTCTTCACTTTAATTACTTTATTACCTCCATTGAGGACAATGTAGGATTTAAGTGTGGGGGGGGAGCAGTTATGGTGTTAGTTTTTCTAGATCTTAGTTTTCAGATATTTTTCTTTTATTTTTAGTCTGTTATTTGTCTAGTTTTCATTTACTTTTTGTCATTTATCTGTCTAGCTCTCCTATGACTGTCAAGTTTGATGTAGGATTGTTGCCTCTATTTCTGCTATTGCCAAACTTTAATAATAAAAGTGTATCAAGTCAATGTGGTTGAGTCCAAAAACATCTCTTTGGTAAATATCGGTGATTGTTTTACTTTTATAATTTTTGGTTAACTTTCCTAGGCATAGGGAATGATTGTTAGCATTTTCATGTGAATTGGTCCGGTTATTAACCTTAGTTCTCCATGTTTGAAAATGAGGTTTGCTTACGCAAATTTTCTTTTGGATTTTTGTGTTATTTTGAGTTTTTGTGTTATTTGGCTGTGAATAAGAGTTGACTGTACTCCGCTAGTCTTTACTACCGAGTAATCGGGGATTTTCATCAAAAGTGTCGATTCTCGCGTCAAAAAGTTGTAATTGCTATGAGTACGTGGTCACGTGGCGATAGAAGCTGAGTAACCGGACTCTTTCATCTAACTAATGTCAGAGTTCCCGTCAAAAGGGAGTTCGCGTCAAAAGGTTCCAATGGCTAGCGACTAAGTCTTTTGTTACTATTGAGAAAAACAAAAAAAAAAAAGAGGAAAAAAATAAAAAAAAAAAAGAGAAAAGTAGAAAAATGTGATAAAAAAGTGAAGGTTGTGTTTGTGTATAATAATAGTCAACTTGCCGATTTATGGATTTAATGTTGAGATTTTGGTTAATAGTTGGACCATTTGCTGATAAATGTAGTGCGTCATTTCTTTTTCTTAGATTAGTTAACCTGAAATTGGAGGAGTTTGTGGTTTTGAAACTAACCGGAGTGATGTTTCTAGGATCTTGATCACTGATACTTGATATATATTTTTCTTGGTATCTTGGCAATAAGATAGATGGAACAATAGCCATTATCAAACATGGATGCTTGTTTACTGTTCTCATGCTTGAGGACAAGCATGATTTAGGTGTGGGGGGAATTGATAGGTTGCAATTTTATCATTTATTTTATTATTAATTTTCCCTATTACCTAATTTGATGTGGATTAATTATTGGATTCTACTCACTTTTAGTATTTTACATTTATTTCAAGGAGTAGAACGAAAATATGATAACAAGTGCCAATTTGACAGGAAAGGAGTCCAAGTCATAAAACTTACCCCAAGGGCATTGTTGGCAACAGAAAAACTTGGGCCCATTTCGGTAATTGCTGAGGAAGAAAGCACGGCCTGGAGAGTCCTCATTTTTCCACACAGGAGCCGCCGCAAGTAGCATTATTTTTATATAGGAAAATTGTGCAGAAGGAAACCGATGGTTTCTAGCTTAGCATTAGATTCCTTCTTCCTTTTTAGACTTTTGATCAGGAACTCAGGCACATGGCAGGAACAATGAGGAATTGTTCCCATTGGCTTTTCTTTGGCTTCTTAGTAGCTTTTGGACTTACGAATGTCAGGAGCACTTAACCTTTCTTGGCTTTGACCTTTCTTCCTTAGAAGCTTTTAGTAATTTTTTTTCCTTCTTGTGTGGCAGACGAAGTGAAAACTATGAATTGTCTCTTGTAGCTTTTCTATCTATTCAATATTCGGACGAGTTGAATTTTTCCAACTTTCAACGGACGATGGCCGTTGTTCCCTCTTCAATTTTCTGTGAGTTTTGTTCATCGAACATGAACTAATTTCACCACACTAGTCAAGGAGCAACGAAGGCTCTGGTTCGCCTAAAAATTGTGAGATCGATTTAATTTAATCTTTTCCTTTTATTTATTGGTATTCGCATATTCCTTGATTGCTATGCTTATAGTTATTTAATTAATTGATTATCTTGGATCCGGATAATTAATTGATTTGGTAACCTATTGTCAATTAGGGCATTAAATTCATAATTGTTTAATTGTCCTGAAATAGTGACAACTGGCACGATTAGATTCGTGTCAGGGGGATACGCGGACTAATCTGAAATAACCCTGGTAGTGCATTATTTGATTAGAATAGGACTCCTCTAATACATAAGGTAATTGGGGAATTAAATCTTACGGGCGTACCTAGGATTGTTTTCCAATTAGAGCAGTGATTAACGGGTGTACCTTGATCACCGACACAGTAAGGAGGGGTTGACTGCCATCGCTTGTTTGGCAGTTATAACCTATTTGTTGATAAATAATTGAAATTGCTTGTGCATCGATGATCAATTAGGTGAACCATTGCTGAAGTTATTTCTTGGCTAAATCTTTAATTAATATTATCTTGATTTTAGTGAATTGCTATTTGACTTTTAGTTGCCTACTTTATTTTATTTCTAATTGCTTCCTTGTTGTAATTGATTTAGGCCTTTAATTATTGTTACTCCAAATTCAGTGAATTGTGGTTTATTTTTTAGTTAGTTATTTATTTTTATTTTCTTATTTGAATTTATTTGATTGTCGTCGCTCCTACAAAATCACCCCCTATGTTACTTTGAATTTCTTAAGAAACAAATATACTCAATCCCTGTGGATACGACCGTACTTGCCCTGTCTACAAATTCATAATTATTTGTGAAAGAAATAACCATTCCATTCAGGTATATCGGATCAAACAAACTCTTCGAGAATAGGGTGAATCAAGTAACCCATTGCACACCTAGAGTCCCCTGCTCCAGTACTTGGAATTGGGTTTTGGTCATTTTAACTGGCAATTAGGTTTAATTTTATTATTGTGCAGGTTTCGACACCCTGTCATTCTGCCTCATTTTCAACCTCATCACCATCCTCTTCTTCAGTTTCAGGACCTCTTTGTTTATCCTTGTTCAATTCTTGGACAGGAACATAAACTGGAAGTTCTTCATTCCTAATGAAATCATCAAATGTGATATCCACATTCCATAAATCTTCATTTTCCTTCTCAGCTTGATTTTCATCAGTTGTGTAGTATGAACTAGGATCTATGGATCTAATATGAAAATCATGGACAACATAAAGTTTAACTTTCCCAATTTGTTTACCTATGCCAGCCATGTCTATTACATCCTCTTCAACATCTATTTGTCTAAGTCTCAATCCACCATCTTCAGTAGGGATTCTATACCTATAGTTGGCATCTGCATGGCACCCAAGTAAATGGCCAAAATCTCTCATAGCAGCCATATTTATTTTTGCAGCCAAAACACCCTCAAAAAGCTCCATGCTACCACCCAAATATTTTCTTTCCGGTTTTTCAAAGTATGCCCCACCATAGTAGATATATAGATTAAACACATCCGACTCAGCACCTGTTTAATTTTCAAACAAAGTAAAATAATTTACACCCACAATTTGCTAATTTACAAGCACATGATTCTACATACCATTGTCTACCTTTTCTAGAATATGAAAGCAACATCACAAATTAAAGTTATGGGTTACGGACCACACGAACCCATTTCCACAAAAAATGACAAAAAAAAAAAAAATTAACCACCATCAGTTGACTCAATCTTACCGTTGCAGTAAAATCTCTAATGTTTGACATAAGATAACCCCACCAACCATGATTACGCTATTAACATAACAAAATAAACAAGATTTAAGTCCTTAAACTTACTTGATTTGCTTGACTTCCTTTCCTCAATATGGCATATTGTCCCCCACTGCCTCTATCCTTCGATTTCTTACGCCCTCCGATTCCTTATTCATCACGATCTGCTTCGATTTTGTTTAGCAGATCATCGACTAAAGCCTTAGATTTTGTCCAAGAATTTTTTTTGTTTTCGTTTTGGATTTTTGGGTAGGTGTTTCTCAAAAGACTTTTGTTTCGATTAATTTTGGTTACAACCCCAGTATTGAAGTCCCTAAAATACCCCTTCCGGGTTGCTTGATTAGGAGTTTGATTGAAATTATGCGGTGGCGTTGCCACTGAGTTTTTTAATTGGAACCGAAATATACTTTTAGGGATTAAATTGGCTATAAATAATATATAGGGACTAAATCGATGAAAAAAAAAAGTTTAGGGACTAAATTGGCCATTTTTCCTTACAATTGTTATACCCCTGTATTCATATATTTTTCCTAATAAATTAATAGTTTTTCAAAAATTAACATCTAAAATCCTTTTTAACAAGTGTTCAATAGACACTAGTTAGTGAAACCAACAGATAAAAGAAAAGGAAAAGAACAAAAAGAAATTTTGGGAAGATGTACAGTTCGGCACGGGGAAGTTGGAAAAGAGTGTGAATTTAGAAACATATGTCAAGTAATATGTCTTTACAATATTATAAAGAAAACATGTACCCAACAGTCCTAGTACAACACGACATGTAGCAAAAAAACAGCAGTCGTTCCATATGGTTTGACTTGGGACCTATGAAATGAACATACAAAATATTTTATTATTGGTCAAATGCAAACTTCAGTCCATGAATTTTGTGTACTGTACTTAGTATTCATCTATTTATGGGTTAACTTCCTGAGAACATACTAGACAATTAATTATCGAAGTTAACACACATAATCAGCAATTGACACGACAGTCTTAGATGATTGAGACTCTCACGAGAAAGCTTCGGGGAAATCAAGTTTAATTAGTCATCATCTTCATGATCTCTGGGTTTATCTTCCTTTTACCATCATTGAATGTTTTGGATTGACGATTCAAGTATTTTGTCAAGATCCCTTCACCTAATCAGCCATTATTCTACTTCTATCTTGTATAGTATCTGCCGTTGTTCATAAAGCTACTCTCCCCTTAGCGTTCCAAGCAGAGACTGGATGGATAGTACATGTATAATTTTTTTTCTTTTTTTTATTCAATTAAAAAATGAATGTTACCCAATGGAATTCCGGAGCAGGGGCCTACGTCTACGAAAGGAGAGAAAAGCCAATCTGTCTAAACGATAATTACCCCTAGCTGAGAATGGGAGGCCCATGAAGGTGTCATACACACAAATTCTCCGATCTATATGGGCACAGCCCACATTAGACAATACATCCGCCACTGTATTAGCTTCCCTATAACAGTGCACGAACTGAACCCTTCTACAAGCTAGATGCAAAATCTTCTCCACCTCCCCATCGATGGACCAAGGACAACGGGACTCTTGCCAGAGAATTCGTACTAGCATCAACGAATCTGATTCAATAATTAGATTCTCCAAAAAATCTCGTTGCACACATAACTGCAGCCCAAGCAGCAAAGCCTTGGCTTCCGCCTGTAAGCTAGTACATTGCCCCAAGAACCCCGAGAACGCAAATAGCAATCTACCCTCAGAGCTCCGAAGAATCCCACCTCCACCACTCACCCCAGGGTTACCTTTCGAGCATCCATCTATGTTCATCTTAACAAACTGAGGCGGAGGAGAGTACCAACGGATCAACTTAATTCCGAAGACAACCTGCCGTTGCTCCACCCTGTCGAAGAACGTAGGCCAATCCCATACCTGCTGCAACTCCATGAACTCCAAGCCATAAGCATCTTTAAGATCCCGAAAAACAACCCGACAAACAATAATCGGGTTCATCCCGACCCCTTGAAATCGCGCCTTGTTCCTAGCCTTCCAGATGTGCCAGCAGATAAGACCAGGCAAGAGCCAGAAGATGAATTTGAGTCTCTCCGATTTGACCCGCTTGAGCCACCAACTCCCGAAAACCCCTCTAACGTTACCTGCATGAGGGGAAACCCCACAAACTGAGCCAAAAAACTTTCAAACTGTACCCGCCAGATCCCCCTCTAAGAACAAATGTCCCACTGACTCAGTCTGCAAAATTAAACAACAAGAACACTTGGAGGGCATGTGAAAACCGTATGACGCTAGGACATCATCCAAGGGGAGGCGATTCCTCAGTAGCCGAAGAACAAAAAAGGACACCTTTAGGGGAACCCTTGGATGCCAAGCCTGTCGACACAGAAAAGAGGATGCCTTGCACTAGCGGAGCTCACTGTATGCAGAAGCCAGCGAAAACTGACCCGAAGACGATGCAGTCCATACCATTCTATCCGCAGAATCCCCGATTGGACAAACCACCGCCAGGATTTGTTGCACCATGTCGACAGGAAAAAACTCCGCAAGCCTCCCCTGGATCCAACCACCATTATCCATAACATGCTGAAATGAGACACCTTCCTTGACCTGTACGCGCAGATGGAAGGTCCCGTGCCCCGTCCAGTTATCATACCAGAAGTCGCATCGTCCCGCGGAGAGCCTCCAACCAATCAGCAGCTCCGTAAATCCCCTAATGTCCAGCATCCGCCTCCAAGTTTCTGATCCCAATGTAGTTATGGGGACTTGACAAGGATGAAGCCCATGACAGTATTTCGTACGCATGAATCTTGCCCGCAAGGAAAACCCACACTTGAAGTTCCACCAAAGCTTACAGGAGAAGGCCTTATAAGTCTCACTAATCGACCGCAACCCCAGCCCACCCTCATCAGTGAGAAAGCACAAATCCTTCCATCGGAGCCAATGAAATTTATTGAATTCCCGACTTAATCCCCAAAGGAAGTTCGCACACACCTTCTCAATAACCTTGAAGACTCCCTTAGGCATCATACCCAACCCCAAGAGGTGGATTGGGATACTAGACAGGACATGTTTAATCAACACAATTTTTTTCCCGAACGACAAAAGTCGGGACTTTCAAGACAAAACCTTGTCAAGCACCTTCTGACGCAGGTCAGAAAAATAACTCACCTTCGCGCGACCAATAAACAGAGGTGCTCCCAGGTACCGAATTGGGAACACTTTCTTCTGGAATCTGGTGATCCGCGCAATGACCCCTTGCCGAGCCGGGGAAAGATGAGGGTGAACTAAGTATCCACTTTTGTGCACGTTAACCAACTGCCCTGAATCATGCTGGTACCATTCAAGTATCTGCATTACTCTCTTTAGGGAAGTCGCACCCCCATTAGCAAAAATGATGACATCGTCAACAAATGCCAAATGGGTGATAGGGAAACAATGCTTAGGAACCTTAAACGCCGTGAAACTGGATTGATTGACAAGAGAATTCAAGTCTCGGGATAGAACCTCCAAACTGATGATAAATAATGCCGGTGATAACGGATCACCCTGACGGAGACCCCTACAGGATTTAAAGAATCCATAGGGCACGCCATTGATAAGTACGGAAAACCAAACGTTGGAAATCAACCTCCACACATGTCGATAAACCTTTCTCCGAAGCCAAACCGGCGCAACACGGCAATAAGAAACCCCCAAGAGACCCGGTCGTATGCCTTAGCCATATCTAACTTGAGTGCTAGGTTGCCCTCTTACACTTCTTTCCTATTTCGGACATAAGCTCCTGAACAAGCAAATAGTTATCTGAAATAGATCGACCTTGGACAAACCTACTTTGCTGCGGTGAGATGAGACATGGCAATACACCTGAGAGCCTACCCAACAAGATTCGAGAAATCACTTTATTAAGAAAGTTACATACACTAATGGGCCGAAATTGTGTAAAATCATTTGGATTCATCGTCTTGGGCAGAAGGACTATAAATGTCGCCATGACGAAGCGAGGCAACTCCGCGCCGCAGAAGAAGCTCACGACTGCTCTATACACACCTGACCCACAACCTCCCAGGCAGTCACAAAGAATTTACCAGTGAAACCATCTGGACCAGCCGCACTATCACCATCCATCTCGAATATCACCTTGCGTACCTCTTCGAAGGAGGGGACCTCCTCCAGAATGGTATTATCAATTTCTGAACTCAAATTAGGAATAACATGAAGAAGATGATAATCGACAATAGGACCGGCCGTGAATAGGTCACCAAAGTATCTGACAGCTTCCTTCCCTATCTCTGCATCATTTGTCACCCACTTCCCTCGAGAGTCCCTAATCCTGTGAATAAAAGATTGGATCCTCCGCTGCTTGACAACCGAGTGAAAATATTTTGAATTAAGATCACCGTGCTGAAGCCACTTGATCCTAGCCTTTTGTCTCCAAAAAAGATCTTCAATTGCTAACTGTTTATTCAAGTGGCTTTGAGCCCGCTGTAGTTCAGTAAAGGCCTCGACGGACAGATCAGATTGGACCCTGAGATCAGCCGTCGTAACCGCAGCTTCCCATTTTTTTACATTCTCAAAAACATTCCCAAAGGTCTCCTTATTCCACAGATGTAGGTCCTGAGATACACTCTTTAATTTTGTCCACACCACATAAAGAGGTGACGTTATTGCCTCAACTTGCCACGCCAACCTGATCACATCAAGAAAATCCCTCCTGGCCGGCCAGATGTTTAGGAAACGGAACGAGCGACACCGAATGTTGGCCCTAGGGGTGAAAGATATCAGGAGCGGTGCATGGTCCGAGGGTGCACGGACTAAATGAGAGACCGAGACTGATAAGGAAAATTCCAAGCATGCCATATTAACCAACACTCTGTCTAGACGTTTCCAGATTCGTGCTCGCTCGAGCCTATTATTACACCAGGTGAACGTGGGTCCAGTGAATCCCGCGTCAAACACCTCTCCATCATACATAAAGCGAGACAACTCTAACCCCTTCGTCGGCTGAAAACGCCTCCCCCCTCTCTTTTCATCTGCCGATAATGTGAGATTGAAATCCCCCACCACATACCAAGGCCCTTGCCGTGGCTTATCTTGCAACAAACCCTCCCAGAGCCGTTCCCGTTCGGCTAACTGGTATTAAGCATGAACAAAGGAAACAAGAACCTCAGTAAGAAACCGAGGGTGTCTCAGGAGCAGAGAGATATGCTGATCAGATTGTCGCATTACTCAACCAACAAAGGGGGCCCGAAGGAATACCCATACCTCCCTTGAGGAATTGCACACTACAGAATCTAATTTTAAACGAATACGAATCGACTCAACTTCAGTCACAGGGAACTTGGGCTCGCAGATCCCCACTACAGCTAATTTGTGCATGTAAACTAATTTTTTGAGTCTCCTAAGATTTGGAGGCTTGGAAACCCCCGAATATTCCAAAAACATGCATTAATCATGAGATAAAAGCTGAAATGAAATTTGAGATTTATTTGATACCGACCTGAGTTCTCTATCCGAAGGGACCGGGGCACGGACACCCCGCCTTCTAACACGACGGTCGCCTTGTTCTAGGATTGCTACCTGATCCAGGTGTAGTGTCTCCGCAACCCCATGCCCTCCATTTTCCCCGCTGCACCTCCCATTGTATCCCCGCGGAGATAACGAACCAGCACAAGTAGTGGTGTCCAAAACCGCAGCATCCGGCACCTCGTCAGCTTTATCCTCCCCCACCGCCACCGCATCATCCTCTTCAACAGCCATGGAGTCATCTTCCTCTGCAACCCGCGTGGCCAACTTGGTGATTTGGGCAGACTGAACCATACGGGCACAAGGGTTGTACATGAAGTGAAATAATATTGATAGTAGAATAAGTAGAAAACTAGAGAATTTTCCAACATGGAGACGTATGTATAACATGTCATCCACCTAAGAATTACCTATTACTTGCAGTGCACTTTAAACTATTTGCTTTGACAAAGGTAGACGATTGAATATTCGCATAATTAAGATCACTATTCTTTGACGTTTTGCATATTCCATGCATGTATATGATTATTTCCCAATAAACTATTGAAACTCACTAAATCAAAGCATGTTGTCTGACGGGTATTTTACATACGTGCAAGCTAAAAAATACAGAATTACACCCGTTCACTGCAAGTATACAGATCAACTAGTAGTTTAGGGTATATATCGGGTCGATCCCACAGGGAAGAGTGAACAATTACCGGTATTACTAAAGCTTCTCTATTATTTAGACTATCAATAAATTATAACAAATTTAACCTACTGAAATTATACAAAATGACAAATGAAAGCTCCTTAGGTTGTGGTATCCCTAACTACTCATGCAAGTGCTATATTTGGATCATTGAATACTACATCTAGGCTAATTATGGTGTAATTTCCTTATGCATTTGAATCCTACTTTCGTAGTGAATCAATTATACTTATAACTAATCCATACCTATTCTCATGGTTATGAAATTAGTTACAAGTTCATTTCTTCAATGAAATTACATGAAATGAATCACTAAAAACCACATAGGTGCACCTCTACTTTCGTGAGTGTACTCCCTATGTTTAGCACTTCTTGAACTAATGTTAAATCTCAATTTTCATTGCAGAAATAACACCTTAGATAATCACAATTAATGGTACCATATTAATCATGATTTAAAGAGCTAAAGTGCTAAATAACTTGCTCAAATCATAGCAGTCAAATAGCCAAATAATAAGCACTAATAATCATAGAAAATTCAACCACACCCAAGGTATAAACTTTAAAGACACATAAATAACATAAATTCCAGAACTTGTATATTAACTATATTTAAGAATCCAATACAAAAGATAAAGAGTTGGAGAAGAGATAACCCATGTCACTTGAGCTTCAACTTCTCTTTCTTCATCTCCATTTTCATCCTAATCTAGCCATTATACAAGAATGGATGAACTACACTTACTACACTATCCTACACTAAGGAAATGGAAGAACTACATTTCTGCACTCTTCAAGCTTCTCCCGTATCATCCCTCTTTCAGACCTCTCAGAATGTCTCTGCATATAAACTGATATGAGGCCCTTTCCAGCAGTCCAAATTTGCTGCTATGATTCTTCAAATCTCCTTTTGTTAAGACAGTCAAAAACCATTATTTTTGACTTGAAAATAAGCCACCTTGTCTGCCCTTTTGTCTTCTGAAGCATGTGCACCGAATTCTCTTGCAGATTGTAACTGGAAAGTAGTTTGAACATAAGAGAATTGACTGAGCAAATTGCAGAATTGCGGCCAGAAAATGCGCCTACACAAAACGCGGTTACAAGTCACGTTTTGTGTACTCGCGTATTCACTTTGTCCTTATTTCAGCTGCGATTTTCTCTATCATAAAGGCTGAACTGGCTTTTGTGTAAAACACCAAAGTTGTAGCCCTTTGAGTTAGCTTTCCAATGCTTCAAGAATCATCCAAATCTGAGCTTTGTAGCCCGAGATATGATCGAAATACTAAACACTGGTCAGAGCTCTGTTTTCCACTTTGGACAGCTGAGTTGAATTTTGGCATTTCAACTTTTGGACTATGAAAACGGCTGAATTGGACTTTGATGTCTTCATACCAAATGTAGATATATCTCTTAGCTTCAAAATGGTACCAAGATCACCTTCATCCGATCAGTGTAGCTCCACATATAGTCAAAATACCAAAACGTGTCAGAGTTGTCAAACCTGACTTTTCTTGATTCAAATTGCATTTTTCCTTTTTACACTTCATATTTTATTTTCACCACTTTAATCCATCTTCAATCATCCAAATATCTTCTCAATGCACTTCATTTGATGATTGAATCATTAAACCTACAAAATATGAAGTTTTTACCATAAAAATCCATAAAATGCAATGTTTAGCCATTTTAACATAAAATGTAGTTTTTTACCAAAACCTTAGTTATTTTAGTTATTAAACTAAATAATCAAACCAAAATTAACTAATAAAACACACAAAAAATACGTAAAATAAACTCTTATCAAATACCCCCACACTTGAACCATTGCTTGTCCTCAAGCAATAAAAATACAAACCAACAATGATCCAAAATTTGAAAATAAACATATGTAGCATTTCAACTTCATTTCCTGAAAACAAAGTAAATAACCATTATGCAATTATTCAATAAGTTCAAGTACTCATAATATCAAGTAAAGGAGAGCCAATTATACCGTAATTATAACAAGTTTAATTCAATTTCTCATTCTTACTTAATTTCATACGCAAGTAACTCATATGGTCAATAATATGCTTCCTAAACTCATGATCATTTCTTATTCTACTTAAACAGATATTTATTCATATAACGTAGCTAAATATTACTTAAGTTGTGAAAGTGTCTTTTGACGCGAGAATCGACATTTTTAGATGAAGATCACCGGTTACTCAACACTTCACATACTCAAGTTGCTTTGCATACTCTTAATTCAAGTACCGTTTTACGCGAAAGTCGACATTTGTAGATGAAGACTCCCGGTTACTAAGTACAAGAATCATTGGAGTAGAATAGATCTTTTTTTTCTTCTTTTTTTTCATTTTTTTTTCTTTTTACAGCAAAGATAATAATAAATTCCTCAAAAGAATAATCATGAGAAGAGTATTGCACTTATTGACCATATTTATCACTTAACTTATAAAATCCAATAAAGAGAAGAAATTTCATCAAATATGCAAAAAAAATATAGGTATAATTTTCTCCACTTTAAAAGATATACTTTCCTACAAATGCAAAAATTATAATCACATAATAGTCATTTCCAAGTTAAATGAGAAAAGAAGTTTCCAAATCACATATATTTATCTCAAATGTAGGAGGAATTTGAACTATTAATGGTATGGAACTTGTTACCCCTTGGATAAAATCGAAAAAATATGAAACTTTTTGGGGCAAGTTTGCAATTTTGGACAAGATTTTAGAAAAATTTTGAATTTTAACACAAGTCCAATATTTGCAACTAATAATTCAATCACATACAATGTTATATAATCTCAATTCTCCCCCCACACTTAACATACACATTGTCCTCAATGTGTAAGAAGGAAAATCAAGATAAAAAAAAAAATAAAACTCCCCTATTGTTGTGATTGAATATGAAGCTTCAAGGTATGTTGTTCGCTTGTCTTCATCGCTTCATGAGTTCCATTTGGTAACCATTAGTGATATAACCTAAAAATGGAAAATGAGAAACAAAAGTGATAACAAAGGCTTAATAAACATATAACGGCGATCCGTAATTCCTAAGCCTTTGTGGTGGTGATGTACCTATAGAAAATACACAATAAGCAACTGAAGGTACAAGAAAATATATGAGGAAAAGAAGAAAAAGAGAATCAAGGAAGCTGCATTTTTTTTTTTTAAAAAAAAAGGTGCTCAGAAAACGCGACTCATCAAAACGCGCCATCAAGCTGCGTTTTATGAAGTCGCGTTTCTTCACATATCTTGCAGAATCGAAAACGCGACTACGTGAGAAAACGCGACTTTAAGTCGCGTATTTGAAGGCGCGTTTTTGGTTTCTGAATAGGCTGTAAAACGCGACTTTGTAGAAAACGCGACTTCCTGTCGCGTTTTGAAGGCGCGTTTTCTTCATTATAGGCACAGAATTGAAAACGCGATTCAATGAAAACGCGATTCAGAGGCGCGTTTTCTTGAGAAACGCGTTTTCTGCTGCGAATTTTAGCAGAAATTCAACTTTTGCAAAATTACAAAAGGTACCCTAATTACTCAAAATGCATCATAGATCATTTGTTTGCTAAAATATTCAATGCATGCACATGTAAAATGATCAAAACATGCATTTTAACCCCTTGTAACGAATCAAAAACAACAATTACTCAAATCGAGGGGTTGAGTTCCTTGATCAAACTTCGCCTTTTTCACCTCATTTGGTCACTTTTGCTTTCATTTCCAATACCTATAAATGAAAAATAACGAAATAACTCAAACACATACTTTAAACATAAAATCACACCAAAATAACATAAATAACCAAAACATTGGGTTGCCTCCCAATAAGCGCTTTTATTTATAGTCGTTGGCTCGACTATTGAACCTCATTTTTCAAGGAGGCTTAGTTAACGAATAATCCACCATTTTTGGTCGTGGTGGATCATTACATGGTGACTTTATAGCAAAAGTCACATGATCTAATGATGTGAGAAATGAAAGTGACTTACATATTCCAAATGTTTCATAAATATTACCTTGAATATGCACCACTTGAGAACTTACCAAATGAAATGCCATGAGAGTATCTTGGGCAGCAATACCCTTAGAACCTATACTTTCAATGCACTCCTCAGGAGGGGTGAAAAATGAGTCATTAAAACTCACCTCTTGAGGTTCAAAGTTAGTTCCAAAGATATTATCATGTGAAATAGACATTTGCTCATTGAAACACAATTGAGATTCATCATTTTCATCAAAATGCAATCCATTTTCACATACAACATTCCTACCATTCATGCTAGGATCATTTTGCAATTTATTAGAAGAAATAACCTCACACAATGCATTCAATTGCTCATTTATTCTGCCAAAGTGAGAAGTTAATTCATCTATTCTTTCCTCAATCCTATCAAAACGGTCAGAAGTCAGATTAGCTAATTTTTCTAAAGCTAACTCCCAAGATGGTTTAAAATCATTAGCTACTCTTTCTATTGCTAACTCCCAAGATGGTTTTGATTCATATTGGACACATTCAGGTTGGTAATCGTAAAAATATGAAGAATTACTATAAGTACATTGATTATCCCAATCATAAGCAGGAGAATTGATCCAA